AGTGGTTGGAGTTGATGCTTGGAAGAACAAAAGCCTTGTCTTACTGGAGGATGGCTGATCTTGAGCCTTCCCTGTAGTGGTGACGGTGAGATGAAGCTGAACATGGTCTGATCTTTTCAGGGGAAGCCTATCTCCAAACCAAATTGCAAATACCATCTGCTCTTTATTACCAGTGCAATGGGGATGGGTAAAAACCCAATGAACTCCAGCTAAGAGATGCTGACAGGGTTTGTAACGGGGATGTGGTGGTGGTGGGCTGCAGTGTGGCCATCCCTGAGGCTGTGTATGGTACCCACGTGAACAGGAGGTGTTGCAGCTCATGGTCCCGAGCCGGTAGCAGTGGGGCACAACTGCTCCCTCCAGCAGTCACTTCTGCATAGACACATCTCTCGGGCTTTTGAGGGATTCCTGGTGTGAAGATGGATGGGGAAGAAGTGAAAAAGCACAGGGAGGAGGAGCAAAAGCCTCTTTTCTTAGCTGTCAATTTGGCCACAGAGCAAGTTATTAGGAAAATCAACTCCAATGGTAGCAATTCCCACATCGTTCCCTCGTGATGGATTTGTCATCATCCCCCTCTGCACAAACTCAGTCTGTGCATATCCCTTGTAGTGATATCCCCAGGAACAGCTGTGGTCTCCCAGTTTCAGTAATGCCCAGATGTGTTCATCCTTCCAACTGTGCATCCAAGGATATGAGCATCCACATGGGCATAGAGCAAGGCTTTCCCACTTCTTTTTCCATTCCTTTCCTGCATGCTTGCGTGTGTGTGATGCACCAGAGCTGAAGGAAGCCTCTTTGCCATGCCAGTTCTGTAGTCTTAGGGAAGCTGCAGTTGCAAGGGGTGGAAAGTGGCAGCGGTTCCTCTCCTGGCTCTGCTGGATTTCAGTTTATCCCTGCTGTGATTTGCAGCAGCTGATGCTTTGGAGAAGAATGATGAAGTGATCAATGACTCCTGGGCTGCATAAATAAGGAGGAGAGGGGCAAAGAGAAGGGAGGACCAGAAACCATGCATAAGAGCCCAAATGAGGACCTGGAAGAGGGAGGACGGGATGGGCAGGGATGGAGGTGGCCCGAGCCTGCAGCAGGACTCAGCCCCACGCAGGTTTTGCAGGGCTGGGAGGGAGCTGCATCTTTTTCTCCAAAAACCTCTGATTTTGGACCTTTCAAAACTAAAGCAGCAGATCCCTGTACTGGGGGGGGGATCCTGCTGCAGGGCAGATGATGGCACTGAGCTGGATGTGTGCTGCGGTGTGCTGCTTTACCTCTACAGTTCCCATTCCCTCCCCATTTTGCCTGGTGGGTGCCAAAGATCCCTGGGTAGGGGCTGCTTTGCTTCCTGTGAACCTTGGCTCCTGCTCCCCAGACTCATAACTCAGAGCTACCCGACCCCTGCCATGAGTCACCAGCACGGAGGCTTTAACGGGAACAAAACCATCAGCTAAAAGAATGGATTTCTTTTATCATCGTTATTATTCCCCCCCTTAGCTCCCCCCCAAACACCCTTTTTATGAGCGTTTCTGGGCTCCGAGGGTTTCTGCAAGGCTCTGGCAGCTCCTGAAGTGACATTGAGCTTTCAGCACTGAAAGGTTTATTAGAGTAACTGCCGTCTCACCAGGCACCTCGCCAGCTTGCTCGGCTGGGCTGGAGCCTGCGGCAACAGGGATGGGTGTGTTGTGTATGTATGTATATATATGTGTATGTAATTAATATGTATGTATATATGTATATACGTGTGTGTGCAAAGCACGCACGCGTGCACAGGTTCAATGTAAACTGCACCTATTGAGGAGGAGGAGGGTTTACCCACCGGCATCGTGTGCTGGACGTTGCAGCCCTTGCGCTCTGCTGTGGGGTGCAGGATTTGCACCCATGCTGTTGGCTCCATCCTTTGCCCTGTCATAGCAGTGGCCTGACCCTGGTCACCTCGGCGCTGGGTTGGGGTGTGCCAGGATTGGGGATATGGAGCCTTTTTCCAATGGCTGCATCCCCATCCAGAGCCGAAGCAGAGCTGGATACTGGTGAAGCAGCCAAAGCCCCTCCGTGCTCGCTCTGGTCTGTCCCACGTACCTTGTGCCTGCAGCTCCACGGACATATCCACTCCCAGTCTCTATAGGGAAGTCTCAGTCTGGAGTGTACAAACCTTTTTTGGGTTCCCTTTTGAGGTTTTTTTTTTAACTCTTATTTTTATTTCTGGGAAAAAGACACCCCTGGAGATGCTCCTGTGATGCCCAGATGGGTTTTTTTTCACCCCATGTTCCAGACAACTCATCCACCGCATCTCCAAAGACCTCAAGGGTACCAGTGACTTTAAGTGCATAAGCTACCCCTGTTCTGGGTCCCCCTGGTCTAAATCATAAGAGTACAGCTGACAATCAAACCAGACAGAACTGCTGACTTTAGGGAAATGTATATCCATTGCAGTTTGATAGAACTCCTTTTTAAAATCACATGCTTCTCTCTCAACGCTCACCACCAGGATCAATCACCACCCATTGGTTCTCCTGTAAATAACCATGAAACGTTCTTGTAGAAATCTGAAAAAGAAAAAAAAAAAAACCACAAAAAAAGAAAAATCCATTGATATAAATAATAAAAAAAAATATCCCTTTCCAGAAGGTTCCAGGAAATCAAAGGAAAAGCCCAACAAGCGAGCCCCAATTCACAGTTTCTTCGGAGCTAATTTAAATTCCCAATAAAAGAACAACAAATCTCACCCATGAGAAGAAACCACAAACGTTTTACCTTTCAAGGAATAGGGGAGGGGGTGACAAAACAATGCATGTAAATATTTTTAATAGGAAACATATCTTAAACCGAACATTTTTGGTATGTACATAACTCTCCTAGAGTTTAGTACTGAAACTGCTTCATAGTGTCTGTTAAAAACAAAACAAAGCAAAAAGGAAAGAAAATGTTTGTCAATTGTTTTTGTTCTTACTCAATGGCCAAAACTTTAAAAATAATAATAAGAAGAAAAGACTCTAAAAATAATCTTTTGCCAATGGATCGAGCACTGTTAATGGTACTGTCTATTTTTTTTAATTCTTTCTGTGCTGTGCCCATTTATAAAAGGAGAAAAGGAATAAAAATAAAGTCATTTAAACATTGTCTGCCCAGGGCTTTGCCTGCTTTCTTGCTGCAGCCTGCCTGGCCCCGGCTTTCCTTGTGCCAGCCTGCAATGAAGGTGAAGGGAAAAGGTTTCACTTGTTCTCGGGGCTCGATACCGAGGGATGATGGTTAATTAATGGTCTCCATGGCAACTCTGCAGAGATGCTTAGGAGCCAGCGCAGCGGGGACCACCGCGGTGCACCCCACTGTGCCTGTGCTGGACCACGGGGGAGGTTGGGATGCGGAGGGATGCTGCAAGTGATACAGATGTGTCCAACAGCATGGAGCATTCCGGCCAAGCCAGTGTCCCCATGTCCTACAAGTGTCACCAGCAAGCGGGAGGAGATATCTGAGCTGTGAGAACCATCCCCTCCCCAGGCAGGAGGTGGAAGCAGCCTGGGCTCTTGGCCTGGAGTCCTGTTCTCACAGTTCCCCTTTCCAAAGCGATTCCTGGAAGGGAACGTGGTGAGAGACTTGGCAGCGATGCTCTTGGCCTCCGCAAGGAGATACTTGGATGTGTTTAACCGGCTCCTGTGTTGCAGAGGCCAGACCTCCATGGATGCATCCCAGCTTGCAGCAGAAGGCATGTTTTGTATGGCTTCGTGCTGTCTTGAGAGTCAGCCTCAGCCAAGGGCAAATGCCAAGCCCCAGGAGGTTAACAGCCCCATGAGCTGGATGTGCTCCATGCTCCAAATGTGCTCCCAGCCCCAGTGCTGTTGTACTGCTGGCATGAGTTTCAGGGAACATCACTTTCTTTGGCTTTGGGGTTATGTTTTTTGAAGTGCTCCTGGTTTTTACTACCAGCCTGGACCCTGCTTCCCTTATAAGCCTCTGGCTGAAGGTTCTCATGCCCCATCACTAAGTGCTTCATCCAGCACAAAGATGGTTAAACTGCTGTTCTATATAACCCAACACTCAATCTTTAGCAAGGTTCCCAGATGGATGCGTTGGACAAACCTTACTTTTTCTCTGAGGCCAGGCAGCTCAGAAATACCTCATTGAATCTTGGTAGCAGATAGAGCCCCACATCTGGAGCACAAGTGTGATAGGGAATGGCTGAGGGACCTGGGGGGTTCAGTCTGGAGAAGAGAAGGCTCGGGGGGACCTGATGGCTCCCTACAACTGCCTGAGAGGAGGATGGAGCCAGGAGGGGCTGGGCTCTGCTCCCAAGGAACAAGGGATGGGACAAGAGGAAACGGTCTCAAGCTGCCCCAGGGCAGGTTTAGATGGAGCTGAGGAACAATTCCTGCCCCAGAGGGTGCTCAGGCATCGGAACAGGCTGCCCAGGGCAGGGCTGCAGTCACCGTCCCTGCAAGTGTTCACACAGCGTGGAGACGAGGCCTCAGTGCCATGGGTTAGTGGTGGCCTTGGCAGTGCTGGGAATGGTTGGACTGGGTGAGCTTAAAGGGATTTTCCAGCCTGGTTGATTCTGTGATTCTATAATATCACCTCCCTTTCACCCCAACCATTGACTCCCAGAGCCAGGTAAAACACACCCCAGGTATCTGGCATCTCCAGTCTCCCCCAGTCCCTATGCATCCCCTGCCTGCTCCCCACAGCAGCTCCCACTGCCTCCAGAAGTGTCTCACATTTACCAGGGCCACCCATTCAGGTCTCCAAGGCTGTCCCCAGCCCCAGCAATAATGATTTCACTGTGCAGCCTCAGCCCCTGCACCCTTGGCAGCAGCCGCAGCCAGCTGCCGGTACAAGTGAAGTGAGTAACTGCTTGCACTGAGGTGTTGGTATTCAGGCTGAAGGCTTGGAACAGCCTCTAATTATATCCCCATCCCCATGTCTTGTATATTACCCCCACCCCTGCAATGGCTGTTATGGGAATGTTCCCTTCCCACAGCACTGCTGCAGACCCCTAGGATTTGGAAGGAGAACCCCAAAATAGTCCAAAGCTGGGTTTATTTTGCAGCAAAAGGGGCTCCCTGTGACTCAGACATCATAAATCTCTGTGACATGAGCAGAATGTCCAAAACCAACACTGTAATTGAGGTTTTTCCTTGCAAATGAGTGGGCCAAAGGCACTAGCCCCTTCCTTGCTTCACAAATGGCTTTTAGGCAGTTGCATGAGGACCTCCATGATGCGCATTTGAGTGTCCAGTGGGAAAGATCTTCAGATACCAACCCTGAGCTGAAAAGAGCACGAAGGGAAACAGAATTGTCACTGCTACTTTGGATAAACTGTCCCCAAAGCCATCAAGAGCCAACAGATAGAGAAACCAGTGTGCCTATGCTCTAAAGAGCTGCACTGCAAAAGATGCCCACTTTAGAGGTAAAAGTAGGACTACAGCTTAACCCAAGCTTAGGGAAGAGAGGTCCAGGCTTGTTTATAACCTAGAAAACACTGGAAGAAACAGTCACACTGCTTGTAAGCACCCTGAAGATGACAAGGACATCAGACTTGATGGACTTGTCAAGAACTGATACATCAAATCAATCTAACGTCCTTTTGTGACCCGGAACTTTGCTCTGTGCACAGACAAGGACCTGTCTGTGTCAGACATGGCCAGGGCAGTGAGGTTTTGTCACTGTCTCGCAGGGGACCCTCATCTACATGCAGTTGTTGTAGGAAGGGTGAGAAACCTGTTTGTGAGGTACCAGGGGAGTGGTTGTCAGCTGCTCACTGTCAAAACAGACAGATGGATTGAGCGGGCATCCACACAGGGTCTCTCCTGGGGCAGGTTTATTCAATGTTTTCATTAACAGTTGAATGATGGCTTAACACAGATGATTATTAGATTTGCAGGCAATGCCTCACTGGAAGGGACAGTGAGTGCATCCAAGGACAGGGCTGGAATTCCGAGTGATCCCAGTAAACTGGGAAGGTACTGTAAAAAAAACCCAAATATCTCCATTATCAGTGGACTCTTCATGGTCTATCCAAGTATCCAATACAAAAGCCTTGAGAAGGCAGCTTGTCCCAGGAGCTCAGGATGCGTCTGCTGCAAGGACGTGGCTGCTATGGCAGCTCAAGGAGAGCCCATTTGGCAGCCACCGCTCGAAGGCACCCTACCGGTGAAGCCTAGAATTAGGTTCAAGGCTCCTGAGCGCCCCTCACTATGGCATCAGGCCGTTGGGCCATGCCCCATCCCTGGCAGTGTTCAAGACCTAGTTGGACAGGGCTTGGAGCAAGCTGCTCTAGTGGAAGGCCCATGGCAGGGGTTGGAACTGGATGAGCTTTAAGGTCCCTTCCAACCCAGACCAGTTTGTAATGATGGATGGAATCAGCTTCTGGGTTCCAGAGATGTTGGCACCACACCGTGCCATATAATGAATGTCCCAGCAGTGCCCAGATCCTGAGCAGGCTCCCCATGGTACCCAAATGCTACAGGATATTTGGGTGCAATGAAGGATGTTACTAGGGGCTTGCATGTTGAATGGAGACCTCCTACATGAGCCTTGGGGTGTGCTGGGAAGGAATCAGGGCAGGGAGGAATGGGATTTGCCAGGACCAGACATTCACCTAAACAGGTACTGAAGAATGAGGTGAGGCTCAAATGCCTTTATGGCTGTACCCCATGGCCAGACCTCACCTGGCACCATCATTCAAGCAGTGACCAGGACAAATCCTTCATGAGCTTTTCTGCTTACACCATATAAAGAGCATTTACCAACCGTGCGGCTAATGCTGACTTACTGCTCCCAAGGCAGCTTTGCTAAAGGCTGTGATGGGTTGTTCTGCCTCCTCCCAGAGCGCAGGCAACTGCTGCTCTGCTCCCACCTCAGTACATGGACATGGTGGGTCATCTCCTGCTTCCCTTTCGTCCATCATTCTGTATGCACAAAGTCCTATTTTGGAGCCCTCTGCCTTGCTGTATATAATCTCCGCATCTTCATTGCCATCCTTTCCCACCTCTTTTGAGGTCCTGAAGACACACTCCATCTCACCTAAGTATCCTCCCTGTGTTTCTCCCTATCTTTTGGAGCTCCTGGACCCTTTTCCCTGCTTCCCAACGACAGGAAGCTCTTTAAAAAAAATAATGTATATACAAACAGATAAAATCCTAACAGAGAATAGCCGGATAAAACTCCTTGTCCTGGTCTGCAAGACAGGGCTGCCTGATGGGAGTGATGGATATCTGGGCATGGCTGACGCCAGTGGCTCCAGAATGCTGCCTCCGAGTATTTTTGGTCTATTGTCTAGGATTTGAGGCAAAGAGCAGCCCATTCCTGCTCTGCATGACAGCATTTCCTGAGCATCAGCAGATATTATTAGCAGCTACTACAGCAGTCAGACATTTCCCATTATTTACCTGCTACAAGACAATTGGCATTTGTGCTGCTAAGCACACCTTTGGGATTTCCGTATGTCCCTCACCTATTCCCAGCCCTGCTCACAAGTATTTCCTCCCCTCTGCAAACCAGGGGCTGTTTTTCCTGAGGCTGTGTCCATCCCCATGGTGGGAGGACAGGACAACTCGCCCCGTATCCTATGTCTGAGCCCAGAGAATTCCCTGGTGGGATATTTCCCTCCTCTATAGAAAGGCCTGCTGGAGCCTGGACATTTGGTGCCTGCGTTTGTATTCAATGAGGAATTCTGCTGGTTGACAATCTGTGTTCAATCTAATGAGGAACAAAGCCAATTAAAAATAATAGGGACCCTGTGCTACTGCCTATAACAAAACAATAATAATAAAGGCTAAATCCATTTAAGCGTTCCATTTAGATAAAATCCAAACATTCCAATCTGAGTCTGCCTTTCTCATTATTCCCTGTAATCCACTCTCATCAACACCAAGTCATTGGAAATGGAGAATTAGAACAGCTGGTTCTGATAAAGCTCAGACTAAACTGCATCCCTGTCAACGACTTCCAGAGGAAAACACAAGCAACCCCACACTCCCACCATGGACAATGCTTCCTGACATGGGATTTCTCGCCGCATTTGGCCCATTGAGTTGCAGAGGGCCTCTTCATCTTCCACAGCTTGAATTTTGGGGAAGGGATTGTGTCAAGGGTAGACATCATCATCATCATCCTCTTATAGCATAGGTTGGGGAGCTCTTCTGTAGGTCTGGTCTAAGTAAACTTACCTGGCAAGAGGAACTGCTGGGTAATTCTGCTTGCATCCTCCCACATCAATTATTAGCATTCCATTGAAAAACCAAAGCTGCACAAGCTGGAAATACTTGGGAAGAGTTGGCTGAGCCTCATAACCACCATACCCCATCCAGCTGGATGTCAGCTCTTTATTCAGCTCTTTTCCTTTAAATACCAGGACAGAAGCCCATTCAATGGGTGCGAGAGGTGGTCTCTATAAGCACATGATCCATACAGCTGCAAATCGTTGCCTTAAATTGCAGGCTATTTGCTACATAAGGCAGGGCATTGCTGGCAAGCAGCATCGTGGCTTTGCATTCCATGCATGTGATGAGGAGGGTGAGTTGGAGCTCTGCCCCCTTCTCTGCAAAGTTGGGGTGGAGGTGGCAGATTGAAGACCCTTTGGGTGGCATCCCCTGGGTGACAGACGTGTCCCCACCATCTCCCTGCCAACAAAAGGGACATTCTGAGGCCAGAGAACTCTCTCCAGCATCTCTTCTGGAAAGGTCTATAGCAGAGGCTGGGTTACAGAGGGAGGCTGCTCTGATTTGAACTTGTTGAGGCTATGTGAAATGTGCTTTTTCTCTTTACTCCTTCACCTCTGTCTCCCACAAACATCCCTAGCTCTGGTGTTTGGTTCACCTCTGTCTCCCACAAACATCCCTAGCTCAGTTGTTTGGTTCTGGATGCTGGGAATTAACACCTTCATTTGCATTTTACTTTAATTTGACTGGAGTTAAAAGCAACTGTACAGTAAATGGATAATGACAAGGCTTTCATCAGCCAGGGCTGTGGCAGGTCTCCACAGTGGGGCCACAGGAGAGGGTATAACAAGTGCCCTGGCACCCAGGGGTGCTCTCCAGATAGCAGCAGTGTCCCTGAGGAGCTGCTATGGGCTGGGGAAAGGAGGGACTGGGGAAAACAAGGAGTTTATCTGGTAAGGTCTCAAAATCAGGGTGTGTGAACCAGGAGGGCTCCCGAGTTCTTGGCTTCTTTTGACTAAACTGTTTTGTTAGTCTCCTCTTGGCTCCGTACTGGGGAAACCGAGGCACAGGCAGTGATTTGTCTCCTATGGCTGGGGATGGAAATGGCTCCTTCTGCTGCTCTCTGAACTGCAGCTGAAAGTTTCTTCCTAGCTGTGAACAGTAAGGGGTTAATTCCTGCTCAGAAACATTCGGTCTTGAGCCCAGTCTGGGGCTCAAGTTTCAGTCTAAATCCATATTACTATGCCCCAGGGCATTTCCCTCTGTAATAGCCCAACATTCTGAATCCAAAACCACTCAAGGCAACGAGTTCAACAGCTCAAACCTGAAAAAGCTTTAAAAGAAGGCTGGGTTTTACGCACTTCTTGCCTGTTTTGTGTGAAGAGTGGTGCCCTGGGAAGGGACATCTGAAACTTGATGTTATAAGGTCTCCGTGGGTTAACGTGGGAAGCTGGAGGATGGTTTGGGTAGATGGAGCAGCACATATCAATGTGGCCATGCACACAAAGCCCTCATCCTGGCTGGTGTGGGGTAACGTGCTCTGTGTCTACTCCACCAAAGAGATTTGGAATCACAACCTTCCCATCTCCCCTGGTTTTCTACTTCTGCTCTGAAATACCACTACTCACATCCTTAAACTGTTCTCTATGGTGCTGCCACCTCTTCTGTAAGACACCATAGACTGTGTCATACTGCTCGGGCAGGAAACTTAATGCATATGGCAATCCTAGGGTGTTATTTCTAATGGAGGCATCTGAAGAGCCCCTCTACCTCCTTTCCTTTCCCCCATTCATTGTCACCTCAGTGCATGGCTTGGAGCAGGGCTATAACAGGATCCTCTTTCCTCATGGCAGCCTCCTGCCATGTGCAACTGCAGCCCCACCAGCTGGAGCTGAGCAGGATGTCAGCAGTTAATAATGATAATAAATTAATAATAGGCTAATTAATAACTTTTCATTATTGCAGCCTCCTCAAGAGCTCCCAGAGGCCCGGAAGCATCCGCTGGAACGTTTTGTACCGTGAGTTCCAATGAGCACAAACTGGTTGGGAGGCTGAACAAACAGTGGCTCCCCTCCGAGCCTGGATGTTTGATGGGGGAAAGAGGAGGAATAGTCTCTTGCCAGGCTTTCATGGTTTGTGTGTGTTTTCATTTGTAACCCATGCTACATGGTCAAGGGTTGTCCCTTCTAAAAGCCACCTGAGAGGTTATAGCGGTACAAGCACAATGTCTGATCAGGGAAGTGACCAACTCCTCCTCAGGGCATTTGAACCATCCTTCAGTGCCTGGTTGCATCTCTCCCAGCCCTGAGTCTTGAGCAGCTTGGGCCAAACCCCTGGATCATGAGACATGATCCAGCATCTGCCTTCCCTGTGCGATTTGCATCCCTGTAAAGACTATGTGTGGCTAGAGGAGGAGCCAAGAAATGTGCTTGGGGAGCCCCTGGAATGAAGAGGAAAATGGATGTTGCAAACACAACCTCTATCCCCAACCATCTCTGGAACACCTCAAATGTCACCTTGTTTTGCTCATTTTGGGCAAGGTGAGAGGCAGGGAGCTGAGGTGTCAGGGTGACTCCTCGCCTTTGCAGCTGAAGGATGTTGCTCTCAGTAAGTCAACTCCTGCAGCAGATGGCGAGGGCAAACAGGCATTTGATATTTACTATTTATCACGTTAAAAATAAAGCCAGAGGGTTCATTTACGCCCCTTTAATGCAGTGGATGCTTCCTTGCCTCCATCAGCCTGTGAGAAGACAAAAGCAGATGGTGCTGCAAAAAGGGGAAAGGAAAGCTTTTGGCGTCCTTCATGGTGTCTCACCAGGCACTCAGCAGCCACAATTACCGAGCAGGTAATGAAGACAGAGCAGAAACACTGATTTGCTGCTTGTGGGGAACAAAAGAGATTGCCTTTTTGGGTTCTTTCCTCCATAGATCAGGGCAAACAAACAGCTTCTTTAATAGTGAAATCCGCCTTCATGTGCCCAAGATAGGATATCTCCTGCTGGGATGAGCTGGGCAGCTGATAACAGGCAGTTTTCTTCATCACTAGCCCCAAATGGGAAAGATTATCTCCCATGGTAAATGTATTAGGGGCTGTCAGAGTAAATACTTTACAAAGATATAGGGAAGTTTAGGGGAAGCAAAATGTTTAAAGCTGCTTCTTCCTCATAATTTGCACATCTTAAAGACTGTGCTAGGATGTGATTTTGTCCTTCCTGGGGGAGCTGAGGAGAGGACAGAGCAGAAACTAACTGAAAGAGCAGAGATTTAGATTAGATATAAGGAAGGAATTCTTTGTGAGGGTGGTGAGGCGCTGGCACAGGGTGTTCAGAGAAGCTGTGAAAGGAAGAAAAGAGGAAACTCTAGATTCTTGCTGCATTTGAGGGGGCTTTTAAGCAGCTGCATAAGCAAAGCCTGGGGGCTCATGCCTGGCTTTGGTAGGAACCTGCTGCTCAAGGCCCCTCGGGACGCCTCTAGAAGCCTGCAGGTTTGTTTTCCTTCATCGAGTCCCACAGATCTTTCACTTGGAGAAGAACCTCAGGATGGAAATTCAGCTGGAAGGAGGAGCTGTGGCTGGCGGAGGGGAAGTGAGCCGCTGAGGTTTCAGGCTGGCCAGAAAGGAGAGTAATTTAGTGGGAGGTGATGCATACAAGTTTCTGGCTGGCAGAGAGAAGGGTAATTTAGTGGGAGTTGATCCCTTGAGGTTTTTGCTGGATAGAGGAAAACTTGCAGGAGGAGGCTCATGGGCTGGCTCTCTTTAGTTTCAGGCTCCATAATAAGTTCCTTTTTTAACTTTAGGGCAGCCTTCCCCAAATGACTCTTCTATTTGATATTTCAGATGCCTGATTAAAGAGCAGCTCTTGGATGCTGAATGGCTCAGGGCCATGGGAAGGGGGAACATTGGTTTTCTCCAGCCCATGGTGCTGGTGACCCCTTGGGTGGTGTGTATCAGAAGGAACTCATGGCCCTCCTCCCTTGGGCTCTGCTGCCATAGAACCCCACCAGTGTAACTGCCCCAGCAAAGATGTGAGGCTGGATCAGTTGATCACCACAGCCTGATCTCCTTATGGAAAAGGTTGTCTCTGGGTACCTCTCCATGTCTGATGCTTTGCTCTGCTCTACTGGAGCAAGAATTTCAGCCTTGCCAGGCAGCTCTGAGCATTTCAGCTGTGCTAAACAGCAGCAGGAGCACAGAGAAAGACATCCATTTCCTAGAGATCTCATGGATCAATCCTCTGCTCTAACCAGAGGAAGGAAGATTTCCTTGTGGCTGGCACTTCAATAGCCTATTCCGTGTGCGTGAATAGTCAGGGGTCTAAGAAAGGCTAAATCTATAGGGCAGCTTTTCCCTCTGCGTTTTCTTATGACGCATTTCCTCTAAACTGGTAAAGAAATTATTCCCCTGAGACATCTTACCCCATCTTAAATGGTGTTGAAGTCAGTCAGCAGGTTTGCAAGCTCAGGACACCTGGCTGCAATAGTAGGTGATAATGCAATCATCCTTGTTTCCAGCAGGGAGAAGACTCAGTGGGTGCTATGGTCTTAAAGGCTCTCATCTCCCAGCCTCGGTTCAGCACATGCATGGACAGTGCTTCGGGCAGAGACCAATTCCTGTAGTCTCAGGTCCAACTCATGTTTAATTTAACAGCTTGAGAGGTTTCAAGATGCTCCTGTCATATGTCTAATAATTAGGTTAAACCCCTCTTTTGCTAAGTCACAATATTGCTCAAACTTCATTTCAGAGCACCCCATCAGAGCTTGCTTTTGCAACAGTCTCTCTTGCTTTAGCAAAGAGCTCCTGTCTATTTATATACATCTCCTCCACACCTAACAACCATGAGAATAACTAATAGGAAGTGCTTGAAGCATGTCTTAATTAGTCTGACATTAGCAAGCTCCGATGTCTTCAGTTAATTGATAGATCTTAGCAGGATTGAATCTCAGAAATTGAGTGAGGGTTTCATCTGCCTTCATCAGAGGCTGAACCAACTGCGTGCATCTCCTGGGGCAGGGATATTTGACACAGCAGCAGTTGATTGAATGGAGAGGAGCCACCTCTAAGAGCAGCTGAAGGAGCACCCAGAAGTGCCTCCCATTTAGTCTGCATTAGGAGTGACTAAATGCAAAAGACGTTATTCGTGCTTAGCTAATAGCTAGA